TGGTTGTGTGCGGTTAGAAACACACGTGTGAGTGGTTTGACACTGGAGCTGACACACTTTCCATCTCCCTTGCAGGCAAAATGATACACAAACTGCTCAGCAGCACATTTACCCACTGCAGCTTATATTCATTCATTCATTCAAGTCGTCTCTTGTTTCAGTGCCTGTCCTCTTTTTAGGCTTTACTTGGAGCGCATGGCTTTGGAGTCTTAGATCATTTGTTCCAGATATAGCTTTAGTCAGTATTTTAAATTAGCTGTGAGATATTTTCACACGTTTACTGTCCGGCTACAGTGTGAAATCATTCTCCTTTACCCTCCGTTAGTCATTCCAGTGTGACACAGGCAATGCTTGGTTACTAAGAGCCCAGAGGGGAATGAAGGGGCCCTTTTTCTTTGTAGAGATGCATATACTCATTGACATAGACAGACACACCAACTGTTGAGCACAGTTTGGTACAGGGTGGGAAAGTTTATTCAGACAGCTCAGGGTTTAAGCTGCGTCTGTATTCCCGAGCACAGATGGGAGTTTGGTAGCATTGAGCCTTGTTTGTAGGCAAGACGAAACCCCTTGAAGTACGCTCGCAGGACTCGGGTTTTCACTTTACGTGATCTGGACAATCCGACAGAACCATGTCTTAAAGCAAGCAGAGAGTATTTGGCTTGGAGCTTGTAATGCAGCAGCACATAGGTGTCAAGAATAACCGAAACAGATGGCAAAAGACAAACAAATCCTCAAACATTGTATTAAGACTTAGTAACAATGTTCCATCCCGAGTCTCCATCAGTGCAGGCCATCCATGCAAATGTGAGTTCAGTTAATTTACTGTCGAGTTAGATCATTTCATTTAAATTAGACCTTAAATATAGAGCATTATTAAAAGGTTAGACAAGAAACCACAAGTCCCAGTGTATCAGTTAGGCTTCATGCCACAAGCAACTACAGATCATAATTCATATGAAAAGCACCTCTTTACAGGGCTATTATTGGACAGCCTAAATTAAAACCTATCTAAAAATACAGCATTGCTGTGTGGACCAGATTAGCACCTTAACATTTGATCTGTTTTTGATCACCTCAACTTTTAAAATAGCACCATATCTATGAATAACCTTTTATTTTTTTTTATTTTTACAAGTTTTCTATGTAAAATAAATTGCATCAGTCAGCATGTTTGGTAAGACAAAAATATGATTTATTGTTAGGTAGGTTATTGTATATATGTTAAGTTGTTAAATCATTTAGTCATAAATGCATGACAAATTATGGCTTCACAATAAATAAATAACCTAATACATCTGTATTTCCTCTGGTTGTAGATATTAGGTCACAGGAAGTTGAATTAGCTGGACTTGTTTGTGGCAGCTGAACCCAAAGCAACATCAGTAAAAACACGCAGCAGACAAACCTGTAGCCTAAACTCACCACCCTGTTCTGATTTCTTACATCTTTTGGGCTTCTTCTGTTTTTTTTAATACCTCAGATAAATTACAATTGTTCATTCTGAATTTCAGTAAAAACAGTCTCATCAACGATGTTTGTGTTCACTGACTAGGAAAAAAAAATCAGATTTTTGATTGCTGTTTTGCTAAAATGCATTAATGGACGTAAAAACAAAAATAAAAAACTTAGGCACTCCTCGTGTTCGTTAATAATTAACAATATCAAAGTAACTTCTCGGTGACAACTTGTCTGTTTCGTCTGACATCATTTCTTTCTCCACCTCATAGGGACCGCAGCTATTTTATGCCTATATCTTGCTCTTGGTCAAGAGTATCAATATACTGAGCTCTGGTCTGTCTGTAAGCCATCTTCTTCACATGCGCCTCAACAAATGGCGGAAAACCCGGTATTGCGCAATACCGGTCACGTGCGTGGGAACTATGTATTAAAAGATCCAGGAGGCTGAGCTTGTACATGTAATGATCAGATAAACACACCAACTCATCAGGATTTATTATCAGTAGGAGATGTTGCATTTGTGTCAGTCAAACTGCCCTTTAATGACTCTTTTGTTTGACTTTAGCTGTGAGCCACGTGTTTCGACATTGTAAACTTTCTGTGTTAAATGTGACCGTTCGACTTGACGGGAAACTCCACCCACCTCCATTTTGGTTCATTTGCTGATCTGCACATGCGAGCGCAACGACAACGATGTGGCTCAGCGTGTTAATGATGTAAACTTCTCATATACCCTGTGACTATTTTCTGCAACAGATTAGTATGTTTCTAATTGCAGCTGTTCTTGTATAAATTCTCCTCTAGTGATGATGATGAACAGAGAGTTTAGGTTTTTTCCTCTTGGCCTTCTCAGCTCTGCTCGGGGTGTCTCCAGCCTTGGATATTAAGCTGATTATCAGTTTTCTGTCAGGCCGTATGTGAAACACGTAACTTCAGAAACATGTTATGTAAAATGGGGGTTATAAACACAAAGTTGAAAGAGAAACATCTGTCAGGTGGCCTGCTCACTTTGTCTAATGGAGCTTTTTAAAATAAATATTTCTCTTGTCAGATCAGCAGCATTGCTAGCTCCTGGCATTTCAAGAATGGCTCGCTTCAAATCTGTCTGTAGTCAAAAGAAAAAGGAAACGGCTGAGGGGCCTCTAACCCCGCTCTGAGTTGGTGGTTTTGTTTAGTCACATGGTGGGTGACTGCAGGTGCAGGATGAACAGAAAGAAACACAACACCGCACAGCCTAAACAATTGTTTCAGACAAGGAACTGAAATTGTCTGGATGTGTCAGGAGACAAACTTTTCTGTCTGAAAAGCAGAATTTTATTTTGTCCAAGGATGACACGATCTTAAACCTATATAAATGTTTTGCTAACTTTTGAATTAAACTGGTATTTTATGACCCACTGCAGTAAATGATGGTCGGTATCATAACGGATGTCTTTGTGTTTGTTTGTCTGTTAACGAGGCATCTAATACATAAACCACTGGATGGACGTCAATGAAACTCTCAAAGTAATCATTGTGTTTAGCTACACTTGAATATGTTTTAGAGTCAACTCGATTCAAGATGGCCACCACAGCTAATGAATTATAGCAAATACAAAAGTGACTGGAACTCAGTGAATGCCTGGTGTGGTAGTAGCTGAGAGTCACCCTCAACACATGCATCAAGTGCTAACCGATTTTGCATGGTTTTGTTAAGAAACAGTGGCCCAACCTATGAGGTAACTTTGATTACCTGTTAGCAAAATATCTTATGAACTAGTGAATTGATTTTAATGAAACTCTCAGAAAATAATGATTGGATGCACACATGGGACGGTTGTGGCTAAGTGGTTAGAGCAGTCGTCCTTCAATGCAAGGGTTCGGGGTTCGATTCTACCAGCAGTCACATGCCGAAGTGTCCCTGGGCAAGACGCTGAACCCCTCATCGCCTCTGATGTGTGTCCCATCGGTGTTTGAATGTGATAAAGCTCTGATTATTCTTTGTTCAGATCTAGTAGAGTGTTGTATGAATGGGTAAATGAGAGCACAGATTGTAGTGTAAAGAGTTTTGCGTATCTTGATAAGATAGGAAGGTGCTGTATAAGTACAGTCCATTTACATCTGCAACTCATTAACTTTTGGTGTCAGCACAATAGAAGACGGCTGCCGCAGCAAATCATTAGCCAACCCTAAAATTGCTACAAATCGGCATGAGTTAAATTTGGTAGAAGGTGAGGTCCTTCACAACATGCTCTTGGAGCTCTAACACATCTTGCAATATCTCACTACATCACATGTGATAGTGCTTGAAGTTATTAATAAGGTTTGACCAGACCTCGTTCCTTCTCGTCATAAATGATGCTAGTTCAAACTCTGACATGGTGTTAGTGGATTATATGCATTCCTTAAGAAAAGCTATTCTTTTAACGAACTCATTTTAGTAGGTCTAATCCAATCATAGTCGTTTTTTTTGTCCACACTTCATGTCCTCCTTTTCTTTGTGTTTCCCAGACCACGGTGTTGTTTGAGTGACTACTTGTTACCATGACGACCCATGTGACCCTGGAAGATGCTCTGTCCAACGTGGACCTGCTGGAGGAGCTGCCCCTGCCCGACCAGCAGCCATGCATCGAACCCCCTCCCTCCTCGATCATGTACCAGGTACACATGCACACACACACACAGTCACCACCACCCTCCATAATCCCCAGTCCCCCCTTTGACTCCATCTTCTGTCTTTCTGCAGGCTAATTTTGACACCAACTTTGAAGACAGGAATGCTTTTGTGACCGGCATCGCCCGGTACATAGAGCAAGCCACGGTCCACTCCAGCATGGTGAGAAAATTTGTCTTGGCTTGCGGTCGCTATTATTGTGACATCCAGCTATTTACATCAATCCTTTTATGCTGCAAATTTAGCAGTTTGTCTTCCTGTATCAGTGAGACCAAAGATGACTGTGGGAAGCAGCCTCATGCTTGCATGGGACCCTTGTTGTGTGTGAATTCATTACAGTTTGATTCTTTTGTCAGCATTTGGCTCGGCCTGTCACAGGACACACACACACACACACACACACACACACACACACACACACACACA